TCGGTCATGCATGGTGACGCTGACCAACCCTGATGACAATGTAAACGAAAACTGGGAAATGTGGAAATAGCTGCAATCAGACGTTGTCATCCAGAGCTGGAGGCTTCTAAACATCTGAGTTTCTAAATTCAGCCCAGTGAGAGCAGAGGCGTTAGATCTCAGTCCGAGCTAAGGGAAAAGAACCTCACTGTCTACAGTAGCCATTCAAAAAATCCCCACTTTGCTTTGGGTCCTGGGCTGGCCCTTGGATGGACCTTGGATGGCCCTTGGATGGCTCTTGGATGGTCCTTGGATGGTCTTTGACTGGACCTTGGCTGTACCTTGGATGGTCCTTGGATGGTCTTTGACTGGACCTTGGCTGTACCTTGGATGGTCCTTGGATGGTCTTTGGCTGGACCTTGGCTGTACCTAGGATGGCTCTTGGATGGTCCTTGGATGGTCCTTGGATGGCCCTTGGCTGGACCTTGGATGGCCCTTGGCTGGACCTTGGCTGTACCTTGGATGGCCCTTGGATGGCTCTTGGATGGCCCTTGGCTGGCCCTTGGATGATCCTTGGATGGTCCTTGGATGGTCCTTGGATGGCCCTTCGATGGCCCTTGGATGGTCCTTGGATGGTCCCTGGATGGCCCTTGGATGGTCCTTGGCTGTACCTTGGATGGCCCATGGATGGCTCTTGGATGGCCCTTGGATGGTCCTTGGATGGTCCCTGGATGGCCCTTGGATGGTCCTTGGCTGTACCTTGGATGGCCCTTGGATGGCTCTTGGATGGTCCTTGGATGGTCTTTGGCTGGACCTTGGCTGGACCTTGGCTGTACCTTGGATGGCCCTTGGATGGCTCTTGGATGGTCCTTGGATGGCCCTTGGATGGCCCTTGGCTGGCCCTTGGATGGTCCTTGGATGGTCCTTGGATGGCCCTTCGATGGCCCTTGGATGGCTCTTGGATGGTCCTTGGATGGCCCTTGGATGGCCCTTGGCTGGCCCTTGGATGGTCCTTGGATGGTCCTTGGATGGCCCTTCGATGGCCCTTGGATGGTCCTTGGATGGTCCCTGGATGGCCCTTGGATGGTCCTTGGCTGGTCCTTGGCTGGTCCTTGGATGGCCCTTCGATGGCCCTTGGATGGTCCTTGGCTGGCCCTTGGATGGCCCTTGGATGGTCCTTGGCTGGTCCTTGGATGGTCCTTGGATGGCCCTCGGATGGTCCTTGGATGGCTCTTGGAAGGTCCTTGGATGGCCCTTGGCTGATCCTTGGATAGCCCTTGGATGGCCCTTGGCTGTTTCTTGGATGGCCCTTGGCTGGTCCTTGGATGGCCCTTGGCTGTTCCTTGGATGGCCCTTGGATGGTCCTTGGATGGTCCTTGGCTGTACCTTGGATGGCCCTTGGATGGCTCTTGGATGGCCCTTGGATGGTCCTTGGATGATCCCTGGATGGCCCTTGGATGGTCCTTGGATGGCCCTTGGATGGTCCTTGGATGGTCCCTGGATGGCCCTTGGATGGTCCTTGGATGGTCCCTGGATGGCCCTTGGATGGTCCTTGGATGGTCCTTGGATGGTCCTTGGATGGCCCTTCGATGGTCCTTGGCTGGCCCTTGGATGGCCCTTGGATGGTCCTTGGCTGGTCCTTGGATGGTCCTTGGATGGCCCTCGGATGGTCCTTGGATGGCTCTTGGAAGGTCCTTGGATGGCCCTTGGCTGATCCTTGGATAGCCCTTGGATGGCCCTTGGCTGTTTCTTGGATGGCCCTTGGCTGGTCCTTGGATGGCCCTTGGCTGTTCCTTGGATAGCCCTTGGCTGGTCCTTGGATGGCCCTTGGCTGTTCCTTGGATAGCCCTTGGATGGCCCTTGGCTGTTCCTTGGATAGCCCTTGGATGGCCCTTGGCTGTTCCTTGGATGGCCCTTGGCTGGCCCTTGGATAGCCCTTGGATGGCCCTTGGCTGGTCCTTGGATGGCCCTCGGATGGTCCTTGGATAGCCCTTGGATGGTCCTTGGATGGCCCTTGGCTCTTCCTTGGATAGCCCTTGGATGGCCCTTGGCTGTTCCTTGGATGGCCCTTGGCTGTTCCTTGGATGGCCCTTGGCTGGCCCTTGGATGGTCCTTGGTTGTTCCTTGGCTGTTCCTTGGATGGCTCTTGGATGGCCCTAGCATGGCTCTTGGCTGGCCCTTGGATGGCTCTTGGAAGGTCCTTGGATGGTCCTTGCATGGCTCTTGGCTGTACCTTGGATGGTCCTAGGATGGCCCTTGGCTGGTCTCCGGATGGTCCTTGGATGGCTCTTGGATGGTCCTTGGCTGGCCCTTGGATGGTCCTTGGTTGTTCCTTGGATGGCCCTTGGCTGGCCCTTGGATGGCCCTAGCATGGCTCTTGGCTGGCCCTTGGATGGCTCTTGGAAGGTCCTTGGATGGTCCTTGCATGGCTCTTGGCTGTACCTTGGATGGCCCTTGGCTGGTCCTTGGATGGCCCTTGGGTGGCTCTTGGATGGTCCTTGGCTGGCCCTTGGATGGTCCTTGGTTGTTCCTTGGCTGTACCTTGGATGGTCCTTGGATGGCCCTTGGCTGGCTCATGGTTGGCCTTGGCTGGTCCTAATTTAGCTGCCATTTGGCTGGCAGTGACTGGGAAAGGCCATTTTCAATGGCTGCTACTGAATGGTGCTAATATCAAGGAGGTGCTTGTGTGCTGAATGTTGCTCAAAAAACGTGTTCAAAAAACACCTGTAAAAGCAGAAGGTCTCAGATTTATGCCCTCTCTGCACACTTTGTCAGCCTTTTTTTTTCAGTGTGGCTCCTGCTTCGCCCTACAATGCGTTTGCTGCTTTACCAACAACTCATAAACGTAACAAAGCAAGAGCTCCTTAGAGACACGTCTGGAGACAGATAATGAAAGAACCACTAAGAAACATCATCTCTTACCACACTGTGCAAGCTCTTAGTCTGCACCGATGATAATTCACTCAATTCACTATGCTAAATGCTTGGAGATGCCCCAACTGGCCTAAACACTCTCACTAATTAAGTTAATAACCCAAAATGCGGGTTTTCTTTCCACACTGAAACCAAGGAAGTGAATATTCAGAATCCAAACTTCTGAAAGTTCTTTAAATCTGAAATGATTCCATCCTGTTCAATAAATGATCAGTGTTTTTAATTCAGAGTAATTTTCATGTGAATGTGCTTTACTGGAGGCATCCATGTTTGTCAAAGAACACTACTGCCACCTACTGGTTAGTCACGTCACGGTGCGGTATCGGCAGTTGATCAAGTCCCAGTGCTGTATCTGGTGTTTGTCACAACGCGCTATTATCCAAGTCATCTTGAAAACATTCTTCTTCCAAATGTTGGCTACATATTACGGGTTTTTTCTCTGGCCAGAAGTTCGATGGCAAATCCTCCCTCTTCAAGTTGGCGATCCAACGACCAACCCGTCCGTGGAGGATCAGGAATCAGAAAGGTGGAATAACTCTTTTTTTCACTTTTACCCGATGTATTCCAGCATCCAGCTGCCATGCACGTGGGCATTGTCAGTTTCACTATAGCTCTGGTGAATTTCAATGGTGAAGTCCTCTGGAAATCGTCAATAATTGTTGTTGATTGCAGATGTGTCTAGTAGTTCCCACTGATTTAGCTTGGAAAGCGGGGAGAATGGCGCTAGGCTGAAAATTATTGTTTATATTGTTTTTATTTTTTTACTGATTAAAGCTAAATTCATTAAATCACTGCGAACTTATTAGTTTTAGGTATAAATAATGATCTATTGATTACTCCTGCTGACCGGACTTTTCCTTTAAAACAGAAGCCTCCTGGGTATGCAGAGGTGGGGCAGTGGTTAGCACGCACAACCCATGTACGGGTTCTAATCAGACCTGTGGTCTCTCCGCATGTCTCTCCGCCTCATTCATATCCCCTTTCCTGTCAGCCTAATGTCGAAAAAACGAGCCACTAGTGCCATAAAAACTAAAAAAATAAATAACAAACAAAAACAAACCAGAAGCCTCCAATCTTAACAGGGCTGAGTAGGCTCTTCGTATTCACTAAACTAATATCAGTTAACCAATTAGAGCCGAGGCAGTTTTGAACTGGATAGGAGTCATAAATAGTCCTTAAAACAACTTTTCCTGTTTGAGATGAAGGTAAAAACCTACAGAAAGGATCTCTGAGTAGATCAGAACTGATGTCCTGTGACTGATCTCCACTCCTTTCCCAGCAGGTGGGCGGAGAAACCACTGAGCCTGAAGTGTTACCTGAGGGTTGTCATAGAAGAGCACGTCTGGAACCTTCATCTTCTGGTCGGGGTTGTAGACGGGAGCGGACACCTTGCCGATGGTTAACACACCGTCCTGAACCACACCTGGAAAACATGGAGGGTGGGCATTAACATTATGGTGGAGTGATGGCGGTTAGGGTTCTGTAATGATGACTGGACGTTGTTTTCATGCGTCCATCCGTCATGGTGAGTCGTGGATATCTGGAGGGAGCAGAGCTGACCCTACCGCTGCCAGTAGCTCTTCCTGAAACGTTAGTTTATCTCCATGCAGAATGAAATAGCTCCGTCCAGAATGTCTGAAAAAGTTCTCCCAGAGAAGCTAAATAGGAGACGGTTCTTTGGGTTCTTTTGGGTCAGCTGTGGTTCTGGACCTCAGAGCGTCTCTGAGGGGAGCTGCAGATGTTCTGGGTGGTTTGTGATGGTGATAAGTTCCTGAAGTGGTTCTGGTTGACTGAACTCTTTTGGAAGGTTCACTGCTGCTGGATGTTCTCTCCTAGCTGTGGATCATGGATCCCACTTTGTTAAACAATGCTTTTGACCTATTTCTGGCTGGTGTGTCATTATCTATTCCAATCTATCTGATTTGAGAAAAAAACTAATGAGTGTTTTTAAGCAATTCAAATGCACAGAAAACTACATCCGAGATGAAACTTTCTAAATTTAAAGAAGATTTTTCCTCTAAATGTCACAATAAAGACATTAAAAGCCAATAATGTGGGGAACTCACAGCTGTGGTCCTGCGGTTGTT